TCTTAAACATATCAGTTTTATATATGCTTTACTTTTTCAAAAAAATGGAGACGTTGGAGAAAAATGAATTTCCCCCTGAGACAACATATTTCATAGGGATTCAAAAGTAAGTGAAAAAGAGTTTGAAGTTTGAAAAGTCACCTTTCATTTACGGCATCGTTTCCGGGGTTGGGGAGAGGGGGGAAGTCTTGCGATTGGATGGGAAGAGTGAGAGGGAGGGAGAGAGGGAGAGGGACAACTTGAGGTCAGTATAATTTCCTCTTTAAATAACCGTCATCCATTCCTCTCTGATTGGAGTCTGATAAGTTTAACAAATGGCACTTGCTTTTTCGGGGCGGAAGATTTAGTCGAGAAAGTTCAATTAGTATTAAAATTCAAAAATGACTTATTATTATTAATGGAGCATAGCTTATCAATTTTGGTTTTTTTTTTCAATCTCGCGGTATTTTCTTACCTCATTAGTTGAATAAGATTTAGTTACATGGAGAGCAATTCGAGAGGATGAGAAATGTGAAGAATCGTGGAGCATATGGACTCCATATGATTGTTTTTCGTTTTAGGAAACGAATGATTGAGTTATCATCATAGAATGTTATATATTCTCTTGAAAGACTTACATGGAGGCAGAGAATGGTCAACTTAAAGAAGTGAGGTAAGTGTGGTACTGGTCAGTACATTAACGAAGAATGTTGATTTAATCATTGTACGATGATTTCACTAGCATTTTGATTAGAAATCCTTTTTTTCAGAAACATTCACTGTTTGCTGTGCAATGCCAACAAGCCATTCAAAGGTTTTTTATCGCATATCCGACAAAAGCATCTCGATTACAAACGCTACAAATGCACAAAGTGTGCATTTAAAACTGATGATGAAGATGACAGTATTTTGCATCTTTTCGAAAAAAACCATGATCTAAAGGTTAACTCTGCTTTTATTAATTTCCATAGAAAAATATATTCATTTGTGTGAAATTCATTTTAACGAAGAATTATAGATTTTTTTTTTACAATACGGCCTATATTTTGACTGTTTTTTGTACTGTTCATCACTTTATTTTTCGTAAGGGACCAAATTAAAACCACAGATTTTTCAGTTCGATAATGCTAATTACCAAGAACACTTGGCAGTTAAGATCTTCCAAGACTGCTGTCGTGAGCAATTTGCTATTCGAAATGAGATGGGAAAGCAAAAAAACGTTATCTCAGGGTAAACTTCAGTTGTTAGTGTTTTTTCTTTTGTTTATGCTTCCCTGGACATTTCAGGCTTCTGAGCCAAATTCATAAATGTAACTTAGTTGCAGACAGTTTTGTTGAGCTTAAATTTTCTGAAGTATTTAGGCAAACAAAGAAAAGGAGCAATTGGAATTCGTGTTCAGATGTGCAAAAAGTATACAACCCAAAAAAAGTCAAGATGAAGAGGAATGATCCATGTTTTTTTAGTTTATTGAAACATGAAGTAAATTTGCAAACAATGTCGGAAAATCGAAGGGATTGTGGAATCGTTTCAAATTCAACAAAATGCATAAGTAAGTTGATTTCATGATTTTATTCGTTCTAAAAGGAGATATAAAAGTAAAATTGCGATTGAGGGAATTTATTTTGGGGAAGAAAATATAAATTTTGATAAATTCAGATAATGAGGAAAATCCTGAATCCAGAATTTGCATCACCAAAATCCTTCCTAAGGCTACTGCTGGTTATAATGAACCCTGCAAATTATCAGAACCTGATGACCAAACACTGTATGCTTTTGAATTGTTCTCTGGTGCGTTGGAAAATACTGAAACCACCAGTTCTTACAACCTTCCAAATGCTCTTGCTGTTAATAATGTTTCAACTGATGAAGAAGTCAGTAGATCTAACAGAAATAATTCTGATCTTAAAAAGTGGACTGCAGAGGTAGCTTTTTTCTTTACTTTGTTACCTTTTTTTATTCTTTAACCATCCTCATTTACTTATGTGTTATATCAGCAGTTTAATGAGACTGAAACCACAAGAAATCGTCGTGTTATTTTTAAAAAGAAATAAAAAGCTTAGCATTTTTAGTAACTGTCTTATTTAGTTTTTCTTTTCTTAACAGTTACATAAAAATTTTTTAGAATACTTCAGTTTCACGAGTTGTAACATCGCAGCTCAATACTATATGTCATAAATGCGGAAAGGTTTGTTAGTTTTGTCTAATCCATCTGGTGGATTAGACATTTAATGGTTCAGTTCAAATTTTCATTAAATATAAAGAGTTGTTTTAGTGACATAGCGAAGCATCAAAAAGTCAGCAGATGATGAAACGTTTGTTGGATGAGAAAAATAGTATTCGCAAATTTGAAATATGGTATTACTGGGAAGGAGAGACAAAGGCTTTTAAAGAAAATGAATATTGAGAATAAGAAACGTGAGTTATAGTATTAGGAATAATGGTCGATTAACAGTTTCCATCAAGCAATTATGAAAATGCCATTAACAATTTCAGAACGTAGGTGTCGATTACATTGCTAAGAAAACGCATGCTTTGCAATTTCACTTTACCCAAGATGACGATCCGGAAATTGCCGAATTGTTACCAGCTACTATAAAAGCTTGCTTTCCCCAGTCTTTATCTTGGAGTGATTATCAGGTGAATCAGACGCCATTCAGATGTTATTTTTAATAGTTTATTGGTATTATTGAAATATGATTGTTTGTTCTTTTGAAATTTCTGCAAACATGCTTATTATTATGCGGAAAGCATAAAGTTATCATATAATTATAGTATGTGACTTGAAAAAGTTGCTTAGTAAACTGCATCGGAATAATATCGGTTGTGCTGTAAGAAGGTCCAAATAGATCTAATTTTTAGTGCACGGAGTGTGGAAAGGCATTAGGAACATATGGAAGTCGAAGAAATCATGTTTTAAAAGAACATTTTTATTGGTCTGCTTTCTGTCCACTCTCTGGTTGTACGGCCGTTATCAGTGCTCTTGATAATTCAGAAGAACATTTCAAGGTCCATTTTTTTCCTCACTAATTTAGTATGAAGAACCTTCTTTTGTGTCTTTAATAATGGAGTACGAAAGAATTTTAAATACATAAATAGGAAATTGTATGGACCTACAAGAATGTGAGGAGTTGAACGAAACTTGTATTCATTCTTTTTTGATACTCAGTTAACTGGATCATTATTTTGCATTATTTGATTTACTCAACTTTAGAATACTTTTTTTAGTTAGAGCATAATATTTCGAAGTTGGAAATGTCAAAAGAATTAAAACAGAAACTGAAGAAGATGAAAAGTGACCGAAAAAATGACTTAAATCGCAAGGTTTGTTTTCTTCTTAAAACGAATATCTTGTTCAGCTTTTGTCTCTCTCTTCATTATAAAAAGCCTAATACATTTTTTTTGGTAAATTAATTTTTAAACACAATAATTTCACTATAAGACGTGTGATGATGAAGTAAAGCTGTGAAAAACTAGAAGTGAAAGTATACATCATTAAGCAGATATTACCAGCTGCTATATATTAATAATAATAATTCGTATCTGAAACTCATTCATTTCAGTTAAATTGCTGCTTTCCCTGCTCATTGCCACCGAAGAGACAAGTTGCCCTCAATGGGTCAGCATATGATAGCAAGCATTTACCGAAACCAAGCATTACATCTGTTCTCTCTTCCCTCCTACATTCTCAGCCCATTAACATCGCGAAGAAAAAAAGCTTTACATACTCATCATCAGATACTGAATCAAGTTCTGTAGAGGATGAAAGTGATTCAGGGATAAAAGGCGATGAGCATGATATAGTGAGTGAAAAAGGTAAAATGTGATACTTCACATAATTTGATCATAAACTGTCTTCTGTCACTTTTGTTTCAATTGAAGCATAATATTCTGATTTTGAAATACCAGGAGAATTGGAATAAATGCTTAGGAAAATAATTATGTGAAACTGAGAAACGACTAACTTTTAATTATGTGGATTTCTTATGAAGACATTTGTTATTTTGATATTTATGTGAAATTGTACAGTTATAAAAAGTCGATACCGGAAAATTCCAATTACTTAGACTTAAGCGCTAATGGATTTTAAAATAATTGATGACCTCTTTCACTAAATATGTTAGATCGTATGGCTGGATTTTTCTAGTATCGGTTTGTCACTATTGTGAGCTATCATCTGTAGCGTTTATAAGACTTATAGTATCACTGGAGAACCGTTTTAAAGTCCATTACTATCGTAAGCAGAACCAATGAACCTATAATGCCACTATTTCCGTTAAATCTTCAAAAATATGAATGAATCGGGTTCAAACTGGCGATGTAAAGGATAAAGAGAAGCAGTATTGCACAGTATATCATTCGCGGTGTTTCGAAAGTAATGGATAGTTTGAATAGTATGATTTAAGAAACAATGTAGAGACTTATTGGTTGCAGAAAAATTTCATTATTACAACTCGAGACATTTTCTAAAATATTTGCTTCTAAATTTATCCCAATTTCGAAATATTCTTCGTACAGTTTATGAGGTATTCATGCTTATCACGCTAGATTCTTGGGAATTGGTTCACTCTCAAGATAACGCTGTTATCGCGAGTGGGATTTACTATTTAATTTTACTTCATTTTTGTAACAGTGTGTCTGTCCTTCAGCAATTATTTTTCGTTTTGCGTATGACAACTATGTAATAAAAATGAAGAAATATGTTTTGTATATAAGAAAAGAAGTTTAGCCCTACTTGTTATTATCGAAATGATTGCTTCCCAAAAAACGATTTAACAGTTATGAACCGTAGTTGTCAAGAAAGCGTATAGCTTCCATCTACAAACCCAGTTCTATGTTGTTTGTGTTGACTGTCATTTTCGGCATCGATGCTCTTTTCCATCTTTTTTAGGTGGCGAAGGATCTTTTGGAATTTCATACGGAGACACATCTTGTGAAAACGTTGGACCAACCGTCGATTCCTATGCTAAAGCATTTGCTGTCATTATGTCGAATTACGCGGAAAGTATGCATGGGAAGACAGATGAGAATATGCTAGTTTTGGAATATTGTACGCAGCATCGCGGATGTCTTTGGAAGAAATTGTTGAGTGTTTCCAATTCATAAAGTGTATGCTTGCTGTAAATTATTTTATATTTCTTTATTATCATCACTTTTCGGTAGATCATGATGGGTTGAACCTCATTGTTCGGTACCTTTCTTAATACTCAAAAAGATTCAATAGAAAGCGTTACTTTTTGTTAGAAACAAAAGGATAGGGTTTTAAGAATCCAAACATTGTTCACACTTTTCAAATATGTTGTCCTATATTCAAACACGAATTCAGGACCCATTGACTTGGGAGATTTCAAGAATTAAATTGATTTGAACAGAACCTTTAAGATTTTACAGCGTTGATTTTCAGATATCATTAGCTGTATTTTACATTGCAATATTTTGAAGACTATTCTGGTGCGGAAACACTGAGCTTACGCTAGTCTCAAAGGGATTTTAGGATTTATTTTAGGATTTTAGGATTTATTATCTTTTTTCATATAATATTGCAATATGAGTATTTTTAATTCCATTCAGCAGTGACGCAAGGAGAGAAACTTGAAATAAGTTTTATCCTCACCGACTGCCAGTAGTACTAGTGTTATATATATTGAACTGAACGATGCAGGCATTTGGAATTTATGAAAGATCAATTTCAAGTGTATGCTTTCATTATTTTATCGTTAGGCCAAGTTGAAGCAATTCCCGCACTCACCATAATTCTGTTTAATGATTCGTTGAAACCATATCAATAAAGCGAAAAGAATCACGGAAAAAAGGAGAAAAAAGTTAAATACTTTCTTTATCTAGATCATCCTAGTTCTAGTTGATTAGCATACTAAATTTCGTTAAACAAATTAACATCCAATTCAGCTTTCTCTTGGATTATAGATAGAACGGTTAAGTAAACGAGAGGATGAGATACTTCTGTTGAATGATTTGAGCTGGGAAAAAGAAAGTATTTATCTTCGTATTATTTTATGAATGTTTGAGGTGTTGTTGATAAGTGATATCTATATTGGCAGATAATATTTGAGTAAAATACCGTTCTCCGCAAAACATTTTTTAATTCAAATCTTTTTGGCAGAATTTATTGAACCGTATGTTTGTTATGAAGAGAATTAAATAAATTGACAGTTTAACAAGCCAATTACTCGACAAGTAGCATGGTTGATTGACAGTAACATTAGGGTTGCGCAATTATAATACTATAAAGTTTGTTGGAATGTGAAAAATTACCAGTTAAATTGATTATTAAACGCTGTTACAACATAAAAAAGGATGTAGTAGCATTATAATATTATAATTGTTTACACTAATATCAATAATATTTTAAAGTGTATATTTAAAAGAAATTACCGATTAAATTATTATACGCTGTTACAGCATAAAAAAAGGATATGGGATAGATGATAGCGGTCTGGTGGATATCATTACGTGTACAGATTTTTCGATTTAGATTATTGAGTTCTTTTCAGTTCTTGTTTACTATTTTGAAGTGTATATTTTAAAGACAAAACAAAGTGATCCGTTGAATGTTTCACTTCATCATTCCACTGCGCTGAAAATTTCCGGTTACCAATTGTTGCCATAAATTATACGTTAAGATGGACTTTAAGATTGAGTTTATATGTTGGACCTCATCTCTGCCTTCCTCTGAAACATCATTAAGATAACTGTTCCAATAGTTCTACTATTTGCATCTCGAAATTCTCACTCTTGACTAGGACGAGAGAATCAACATTTTCACTTTGATCCTATGTTCCACTCGCTCGCTCGCCTAATGCTGGAGAAATGGACTGGATATTATAGCGCGTGTGTGTGTGTGTATGTGTGTGTGTGTATGTGTGTGT